GAGGAGGAGAAAGGACTGGAGGGGGCCAACAGGACTGGAGAAGGAGGCGGAGGAGGTGCGGGGGCTGCGAGGCAGAGGCTGCGACGACGATCGGCGGAGGCGGGGCTGCGACGATCGGGCAGAGGCAACGGCGGGCGGAGGGCTGCGACGACCTGCCTTCTCTCTCTCTCTCTCTCTCTCTTTCTCCCTCTCCTCTCCCTCTCCCTCTCCTCAATGCATGAGAAATGCAAGAGCTTTGCCTTTTCTCTCTCTCTCTCTCTCTCTTTCTCTCTCTCCCTATCCCTCTCCCTCTCCTCTCCCTTTGTTTCAGCCTGGATGACGAAGAAGACGAAGAAAAAAAAAAAAAAAACCAAATGCCCAAAACGACGTCATTTTGGGCATTCGGGGGATTAGGGAGAGAAGATTCGAGCTCTGAAACATTATCCTGGGTAAAATTGAAAAAAAATTCCATATGGAGGGTGTAAAGAAATAAAATAGTAGTGTAGGTAGAATTACTTTAAGATAAAATGTCACATTCAAATCATAATCATTTCATTTTTTTCTCATAAAAATTTAAAAAAATCAAAAAAAATCTAATCCAAACGAACTTTTTAACCCTAGACTAAGGCTAAGTTTGGGAAGTCTCAAAAAAATTAAAAAGTCAAAAAGTTACTCAAAAAGTTAAAAAGTTATCACTATTCACCAAAAGTCAACAATTACGGTGCACAACTCCTAATACTAATTTTCCCCTACACATTAATTTATACAATTTTTTAATACACATTTTTTCATAAAAAGTCAAAAAGTTAACCCAAACATTCATACTTTCAACCTCAACTTTTTAATCTAAAAAGACGAAAAGTACACTTATTTAAGACACCCCAAACAACCCCTAAAGTAGTTAAAAAATCAAAATACTAACCTACTCCCAAACAAAGGCTATGCGCTGCACTTTGGTTGGTCTAAAAAGTTCAAAGTCTCAGCCTAATTTTAAATTTTTAAATAAATTTAAAATAATAAAAATAACATGCATCATCATGTGTCACAATTTAATTGGTTTATAATTAGTTTTATATAATTTTATTAATTATTAACAAGTAAGCACCATAATTTAAACAATTTACTTTTCTATAATTAGCACAACTACCACATATCTGTACAGGCATTTTTTTTTTTTTTTTTAAAGATAAAATATTTAAGATTTTGAAAAGGGATTGCATCGCATTGCATTTACATTCAATATTGATTACCTTACATAAATGTATATACTTTGTTAGGGATTTCTCTACTGTTATTAATATATATATATATATATATAATAAAAACAAATATTAACAGCAGTAGATTACTTACATACACTTTCAGACAACCTCAACGTATTTCATTCCATTTGTGTTCAAGTAATATACTAGCTCAAATTATTCCATAGAATATGTATGTTTTACATGGTTAAGTAATGGTTATCTCAATTTGAAAAAAAATAAATAAAAAAATACTAAACAATATTGCTTGGGCCCTTTATAAGTATTCATACTTATGCTACCATCTCCATCTCATTAGTCCTAAAATGTCCTCCTCATCTAATCTCTACATTCTCTAAAATTTATTTTATTTTATTTCCTGTTTTGGTTCCCTAGAGTGTCTAGTGAACTCAATAATGCTAGAGACTTGTAACAAATTCTTGCTTATGGACAATCTCCCACCCCCCAGAATATATATGATCTTGAACACTATGCAGTAAAGGTCATGTAATTTTTTACATTGTTCGCAAACTAACACATTAATAACTTATTAAGACTAACGGCATGGCCAGCAGTAGCTCACATTTATGGTGATTAATGAAAGAGGTGAGACTCACAATTTTGTATTAGGTGATAAGAGAATAATAGGGATATAATGGTTTGTGATTGGTGTATGATATGTATCATGTGATGCCTCATAAACGCCGAGTATCTTGCAACGAGTGAGTCACATGATTGTAGATAGGACCCTATAAATACAATAATAGTATATACTTAGGAAAAAAAGTCAAAATTCAAAAGATACCAATCATATTCATTCTACATATGACCCTATCATACCAAATTTAAATTTACTCCATAATTCTAAATATTTTTTAAAGTATTTTTTTTAGGGGTTTTTTTTTTAAGGTCCCTGGTATTATGATTTTATAGTATAAAGGACACTCAATATTTTTATAATGTCTAAGATCCCTCAACATCAATCCAGAGAAAATTCGATCCAGAGAAAATTCAACCAGAGAAAATTCAACCAGAAAAAATTCGATCCAGTGAAATTCTTTGATCCAAACCCAGAGAAAATTCAATTTAATCCAGAGAAATTCTCTGGTCCAAAACCAGAGAAAATTCAATTCAGTGTTATTCTTTGGTAAAATTGGATTGATTAAGATGGAGTCCACTGATTCACTGAATTCAATTCAGTGAAATTCTTGAATTTTCAATTGAATCAGTGAAATTCAATTCAGTGAATCAGAATAAGAATGCTATGAATCAGAATGAGAATGCTCTGATTTTACATAATATTGTGGATGTCTAATCCAATTTTACTCAATTAAAGGCAGAGAAAATTAAACAAACTGAGTTTAAACTATAGAAATCCAGAGAATTTTTCTAGACCAGGAAAGAATTTCTCTGGACTCACTTCAACCCATAGAAATTTTCTCAAAACCAGAGAAATTTCTCTTAACAACCCAGAGAAATTTCTCTTAACAACCCAGAGAAATTTATTCAAATCAGAGAAATTCCCCCCTTTCCAAATCACTCAACCCAGAGAAATTCACAACTCATAAATCATCATAAATCAATCCCTATTCATCTTTGTAAAAAGAAATAAAAAATTAAAACTAAATCAAAAATCAAAGAAACCATAAAATAACAAAAACCCAACATTAAAAATCCGAAGATATTTAGGGGTTACCAGACAGATTTGGTCTTGCAATTGATTGACATCAAAGACCCACCGACCATACTGCAATTTAATCCGATCTTCGAGAAATTGTCTCTCTTTTGCAAGAGACTTGATCTGTGTTTGTTGTCTTCGTAACAAGTGTGTGAGAGCGTTGAAAACTTTCTACCATTTTCGACGATTGGAAGAGACATTCGAGCCTTTTAGAGCGCCCACGTTAGAACTGTACATGGAAACTAGGGTCTCCGGTGGAAGTGTTGGGCTTCGAGGCACTTCGCACGAGAATCTCCGCCGAAAATCGACCATTTTGTCTCCTTCACTCCCATTCGTCTTCTTATAATCGCATCGACCATTTTGTCTCCGTACTCTTTCTCATCTACTTCAACTCGATCTGCGCCTTCTTCGAGTCTCTCTTCGTGATCGACCGCAGATTTTAGGAAAAGGAGAGTGAGGCCGTCGGAAGAGAGAGAGGGTGTGTTTGATTGGACGGACTGGAAAATGGGGGATTAGAATCCATCGGATTTGAGTCTTGGGACTGTGAATCCCCCGGACTATTTGGTCGGATTGGATATGTATCCTGTGTTTGTTTTTTCATGGGATTAGATGTCTGGATAGGACTATTTTCAGTGAATCCAACGTTTGGTTGGACGGACTGGATAGGATAAATGAACAAAAGACTATTTTACCCTTTTTCAATTGTTTACTAAGGTCAAGTGTGTTGGTGTTATTACGAATCGATGATTGTGAGTACGCGCCACCACACTCATGGGCACACGTTTGGGCCGCACAATTTTTGGAGGCTCATTGGATGATAGAGTGGGGTTCGATTGTATGGGAACACTACTAGCCTTTCTTCGGTTTAATGAGCCCTAGCAAATCAATTCCCTCACCCTTCAAACAAAGAATATTTAAATTTGTGATTTTTATTATTTTAAATCAGTAAAATTTTACGTTTTGTTGATACAATTTGATAATGATTCAATAAAGTCACAATCCTCGTATTTTATTTGAGTGAATAAAGTCAATAGTGCTCTTGGGCCATTCATTTTAAAACAAAACAATTATTACAATTACTTTAAATTTTAAAAAAGTCATCAAAACATCATTTTAGATATATTATTTTGTTTATTTATTGTTTTTATTTGTAAAAATAAACTCTTTCAATATAAAAAATGATCCTCAAATAATTTGTATATATATATAATTTATTGTTTTTTTGTATTGACATTTTTGAAAGAATTAATTATATGAACATTTCTCAACTATTATTAAATATCACCTTAATTCTTAATTTAAAGTGTACATTTAGACTCTTATCAACTTAAAAATTGCAACACTTTCATCTGTAGAGGGGACATTTGTAAGTTTAGGAGTGTAAATAAACACTTTTAAAGTTAAAGGGGTAAAATTGTATACAATGATGTTGAGGGGGGGCATTTGCTTATTTAACCATTTTTAAAGTCATAATTTATTTATTTATTTACTTATTTTTTTGTAGTTGGTAGATGTTAGCAAGACTCAATGATAAATATTTTGATTGACAGGATAGTCCCCCATATGGGGGACATGGAGTCCGGCCGGACATGGAGTCCACCGGACTAAAAAAAAATCAAACGACGGATAAGGAGAGAGGCCGGACATGGAGTCCAAATAGTGGATAGTCCTCCCCCTTATCCCCCCAATCAAACACACCCAGAGTGTGTGAAGTTGAGATTTTGGATGTAAATGAAAAAACATAATAGGAGCAGAGAGAGTTGAGACAATTGGAGAAAACAGAGCTGTGCTGAGCTGATATATGTTTAGGAACTTTAGACATCAAAAAATATTTTTGTGAATCTCTTTCATTACGAAAAGTGGGAGAGGGATCCTAGACCAATTTTCCCTTTTTTTTAATAGATACATAACATATTTACATCAAAATGTGCATAGACACAAATGTTACCAAACCACCACCACCACACATATAACCAAACCAAATCAAATCAAATCAAGTTTCAAGTCCATCAAATGTGACGGAGTAGATGAATCTTTCTTCATACTAAAAAAAAAAATAATAAGTTCGTACGAACACTTAAGCTGAGTTACTTCACTTTTTGTCAACGCATCGAAGTGGGATTTATCCCCAACCTCTTCTCTATCCTCTGAAACCTTCCTTCTATAGACAATTCAAGTTCTTGAAATTGAGTTGCACTAATCTCCATCTTCCAATCATCAACATTCACAGGATTATCATAAGACTCTCTAACAGCAACTACTTTAACTGATTCTTCTTTGCTCTTGTTCTGTTTCATCATCTCTCTCAGCAACACAAAATCCAATTCTTCATCAAAGTGGTTAACGATATCAATGGAGCCTTTCTTCTTTAAATTCCCTTCTTCTTTCGAAGACAACTTTCGCTTTCTATTCATAGTAGAAGAAGAAGGAACAACATTACCTTTCCGCGAACTTCTTGTCCTTTTCCAAACACTGGAATCTTGGTAAATCTTTCCAATACTTGAACCTTGATATCGCTGCAAGTTGTTTTCTTCGTTGACAATTTCTTTTGAAAATTTTGAAATTTTCTTGGGAATTTTGGGAGTACTTGATGCATTTGAAGCATGGAAATCACCCTTTCTGTTTCTGGTCTTGATTTTCGATGATCTTTTAGACCGTAAATCAGCTCCTTCATCGGTCCAATCTCTAATTATCTGTGTCTTTGAAGAAACACCAGAATCTTGATGAATCTTTTCAATACTTGAACCTTGATATGGCTGCAAGTTTTTCTCTTCATTGGCAATTTCTTTTGAAACTTTTGAAATTTTATTGGAAATCTTGGGCGTGTTTGAAGCATTTGAAGCATGAAAATCACCCTCACTGTTTTTAGTCTCAATTTTTGATGATATTTTGGACGGTAAATCAGCTTCGTCATCGGTCCAATCTCTAATTATCTGTGTCCTGGAATAATGACAGTTTTTCTCATTCATTTTTGGTTGGACTGACGATGATGAAGCTTTTTTCATCATCATTTTTGCTTTCTGCATTGAGGCATCCCTAATTGCTCGTTTTCGAGCAAACATGAAATCATCCCACCATTTCAAGTACCTAACCGACACACTGGGCTCAAAGAATCTTGATTGGACAAAGAAACCGACATGTTTCAACCCAGTCTTTGAACCCAAATGATCAGCAGTAGGAAGATCTTGATCCATTCCAAACTGCATCGCTACGCGGCGTGGCGAATACTTCTCTACACAACCTATTCCAACCATATTAGATGACAGTGTTGATCGAATGTAAGATTTTATTTCATCATCAAAACACGAACGATCAGATACAAATTGTTCGGTTTCTTTGTAGTATGATAAATGGCGCCAATTTTTCAAATCACTAGCATAAGGCCGCCAAAGGAAATTTTCCGGCAGCCTAAGAGCCGATCTGACAAGTGGCAGATTTATTTTTGAGTTTAGTTTGTGCCACCTGGCGGCTCTAGGCTGGCCGAGTTCTAATGAGTTTGGGGTTTTCGGTCCCAAAAGTGGGAACCGCTCCAATGCCCAAAGCTGCACCAATTGAAATGGCGCGAAAACTACAATACGTTGTGAACTAGTGATCGCTTGTTCGTGCAGCAATCTCAAGTCTCGATACAGACTCGAAAGTACTGCAGGGGCAAGAGCGATTCTTGCCCCTACAGACAAATGTGCTGCTATAGGAAAGATGTGCTTTCCAATAGTCTTTTCAGAAATAGAAGGGAACACATGTCTAGATAACCAATATGTTAAAAAAGCAACATGCTCAGACTTAAACTCAGACTCACCCGTGTTTTCCATACATTGCTTTATCCTTCTAGACATCTCCATTTGGAGGCATCTCAACTCGTGCTCGACTCTCAACAAGTCCTTGGGAAGCGGGCTTGTCACGGGCTTTCCCAGAACCGAATACCCACCAAGAACCATGATGTCTTCGAGGGTGATCGTCGCTTCACCCCATGGAAAGACAAATGTGTTGATCTCGGGACACCAAAATTCAGACAATCCCAATACCAAATCTTTGTCGCGACGAACCTCGTACAAAGAACTAAGGATGGCGTCACAGATACCGGCCTTTTTCCATGTTTTGGAGTGTTTTCGGGCTAATCGTTCGACCCATTCTTTCCATTTTCTGTGGGGAAGTTTCCAGCCTCGGAACTGGACCTCGGAAGGCCATTGCTGGAGATTGTGAGGGAAAATGTCAGATAACAGAGGGGTGTTTGGGATTGGGACAGCATTTTTGAGATGTTTGGTGCATGGTTTGAGGAATCTGGCAATTCTGAATGTGGATTTCCCGTCTTTGTGGGAAATCATTTTCTCAGCTCTTTCTTCATAGATATTTTCAATTGCCATTGTTTTAAACTGTGGAAACTAGAGAGAGAGTTGTTGGATGAAATAGATGAGGATGAATTTGAATTTAGGGGGTTGATGCAACGATTTGTTTGGGAAGTTGAAGAGTGGAGAAAAAGCCACTACTGATAGTGGGCAGTTATTTTTCGGAGCACTATGCAAGGATTGCATAAACCACAAAACCAAACCTGACATAAATCCACAATCTATTTTTTGAAAAATTACTACATTTTTTGGAATAAAAAATAATTTAATTAAAAAAAACTCATCAATGTCATATGATTTTTATATTTTCTGAGAGTTTTTTCAAACTAATTTCTATTTTAAATAATTATTACAAAAAAAAATCCAATATTTGAGCTTTTTAATAAAATAAATTCTAAAATTTTAATTTTATTAATTTAAATTTAAATTTTTTAATTTGTTTTTAAGATAAATCATCAATCTATTTTCATTGAGTAAACTAATGATAAACTTAATGAAAAATGTATTTTAATTTTTTTTTTGTATATATGACTTTAAATATTATTTTTTTATTAATTTTATTTAACAAAAATAGACAAATGATTGAAATTGCAAAACAAATTAAAAGATAAGATTTTAAATTGATAAAATTTAAAAATTAAAAATTATTTTATTATAAAACTCAAATTTAGATTCTTTTTTGTTGTAATTTTATTCTTTTTTATTTTATTAGAAATATTTTTAAAAAATATTCTAAAATTGAAACTAAAACATGTTCAATTATTGGCTCCGTTTGGTTTAGTTTTAAAATTATAATTTGAGTGTGGAGTTATGATTTAAGTTTGGAATTGTGAGTTGAGTTTTGAAAAGAGTTTTAAAAAGTGTTTTGAGAAGAGCTTTTGAATTTTAAAAAGAGTTTTGAATTGTATTTTGAGTTTTGAGTTTGTGAATTTTGAATTGTATTTTAAAATTTTTTAGATTTATTTTTTTTAAATATTAAAAAATGTTATTTCAAAACTCATAACCAGACACATAACTCAAAACTCCACACTCAAATTATAACCAAATGCATAAAAAATAAATTTAAATATTTATAAAATAAAATAAAATATTTAAAATAAAATAAAGCACACAAATATATGAAATATAGTATACATTAAAATGAATAAATATATATTTAAAATATAAAATATTTACCCTAAAAAAATAAAATTAAGAAATTTTTTAAATATTTTAAAAAATAAATTCAAAAAATTTCAAAATACAACTCAAAATTCATTTTAAAGCTCATAACCAAACAAATTTTCTATTTTCAAAACTCATAACCAATGTTTTAAAAATCGGACCTGTGAGCGAACTGAAAAAATGATTAGGTGGACAGGTCACCGATTCAACCGCAGGGTTGAACCGAAGTCTAATCGTGACGTCATAAACATATTTAAATTATATTTAAATAAAATTATAAATTAAAAAAATTGAAAATATTAAACTATTTTAAATATTTCTCCTGATATTTTTCTTACCAAAAAATATAATAATGTATTTTAAAATATTATTAATTTTAATTTTGAAAGAGGAAACCAAATATTTAATATTCCCTTTATATGATTTTAATTCAAATAATTTGATTGAAAGAAGAGCAAAAATTTTGGAGGGATATCAAAGTTTTAAGTATCCCTCCAATAAATTTGATTGAATCCCACATAAATTTTTGAAAGAATTTTTTTCTTATAAATAAGTAGAGAATTTCACAATAATTTCAAACTCTCAATGAGATTCCTCACAAAAGGAGATCCTTAAAAGAGAGTTTATAATTAATTTTTTTATATATATATTATATATATCTATATAATATGGTAGACTAATGTTATATGCACCAATTAGTGCACTAACTAGTGTACCAATTGATGATGTACCATAATTTAAGATATTTTTGGTATTTGTAATTTGTATAATAAGTGGGTCAATAATAATGTCATAACTAGTATTGATATACTAGTTAGTATACTAATTGGTGCATGTAGCACCACTCAATATGATATGACGATTTTTAAAAATGTCTCAAAATGTATCAAAGATACATTTTGAATTAACGGTTCAGATTATTTCATCTAACAATTTAAGGGTCAAGATGATTTCTTTACTTTTGCTTTCCCCCCAAAATCTCTCTCTCTCTCTCACATTTTTTGAGTCTTTTCCCAAATTTTAAGTGCAGTGCACTACTTTCTCCAATGCAATTGTTTTCTTCACATCTAACATTACCATCTAAAACTTTGCATCTTCCCTCCCTCCCTCCATCTTTCTCTCTCACGTCTCATCTCATTCTCTCTCTATAAACTCTTATCTCTCTTTCTCTTAGCTTTACTTTTTAGATTTTAAATTTCAAAACACACATTCACTTCCTCTCTCCTCTTACACTCTTCTCACTCTCTCTCTAAACTGTTTCTATCTCTCTTAAGGCTCTCAGCCTTACTTCCCAGTCTCTAGTCTCACTAAACACTCTATCTTTTGTCTCTCAGCCTTACTTCCCACGGCCCAAACTCAATAACTCGGTCGCGTCGACGAACAAGCTTTTATTGTCGTGATCACATCCGAGAGCAATGTTGGGGACTTTGGTCCTCCGAAACATTAACATTTCAGTTGAAAAATCACCCACTGTGAACGAACCGTTGCCGTACAATACTTGGTAGAGACATATCTGATGGTTGTTACAGCCCGTCGAGTTGATTTAGTCAAATCGAAGATCGGGGTCAGTCTGAGTGTAGCGTTGGAGGTGACGCGGAAAAGGCATTATGGGGTGACAGTGAAGGTGGTTTCGGAGAGGGTTGTTGGTGAGGGTGGTGTAACTGTAGGAGAGGATGATTTTGGTTTCTAATTTGGCAATAAGGGTATTTAAATCTTGGGTTGTTGTCCATGAGAGGGACCGTGGTTTTGGAAGAAATTGTAGGATGAGGGTTTGGAATTTGAGGGGTTAGGAGAGAGAGGTAAAGATAAAAAAGAAGAGAAGTGAGAAACTAAACATTATTTTTATTTTTTTTTTCTATAATCCAGGCATGCCTTAGATTTATGAGTTTATATGTTTTATGCTCTTAAAAGTGAAGAGTATGTCCTAAATTAATGGGTTTAGTCAACAACTGTGTCATCCATCATTGAGGCAAGTTTTTTGTTCTGTTTTGTTGAGTACTGTAGAAGGTTGCTCAATGTTTTACCTGTTTTTTTTTTTTTTTTTTTGTTTTTTTTTTTTTGCATTTGCTTTGTGTGCTGGCTAGTGCTGCTTGGTTTGATTATGGTTAAAAAATGTTTATGGAAATTTTTTTTAGTTTACAAAGTTGATTTCAAAATTTAAATAAATAAAAAAATTGAAGTTGCTTGGTTATTAAGAAACGAAACATTATTAGAAATATTTATATTTAATAGGTGTTTGGGTTAACCTAAAAAAGGTAAAAAGTTAAAAAGACATTACAAAAGCAAAAAAGTTTATACTATTCACAATTTTTTTGGCGGAAAACAACAACACGTGTCAGAGGCAAAAAAGATTGAAATGCCCCTTTTTTTGTTTGGTGAACAGGAAACATGTACCCCAAAAATATATATATATATATATATATATTAAACTTTGTACATATATATCTTCTCAGGTCAAGCTGTTCCACCACACATTGAAAAACCAAGCCATACTGGCCATCACGTGAGGCACTGTCAGTACGCACAAGGACATAGGGGCAATACGATAATTTGTATATTTACTACAATATTATAATGCACATTTTTTTTCGTAAAAAGTCAAAAAGTTATCCCAAATACTCATCTTTTTTCCCCAATTTTTTTAGGAATAATATTTCGTAGCTCGAAATTCCTTTGGCCCGAGTGGCTTGACTGCCCAAAACAACGTCGTTTTGGGTAGCTTTTTTTTTTTTTTTTTCCTTCTTCTTATATCTCTGAAACAAAGGGAGGAAGAGAGAAGAAGAGAAAGAGAAAGAGAAAGAGAGAAAAGAGAGGAAGAAGGAACACAGAGAGAGAGAGGCTCCATCCATCATCGGCGCTACCACCAACGCCATCACTGGCACCGCCATCCTCTGTGTGTATACACAGATCTGTATAGATCTATGTACATCTCTGTGTGTGTGTGTGTGTGTATTTGTGTGTGTGTGTATGTATAGATTTGTGTATGTATAGACTATTTATCTCTCTCTCTCTCTCTGTGTATAGATCTGTGTGAGTTATGGAAGAAGAAAAGAAAATTAAGTATCCCTCCAATAAATTTGATTGAATCCCACATAAATTTTTGAAAGAATTTTTTTCTTATAAATAAGTAGAGAATTTCACAATAATTTCAAACTCTCAATGAGATTCCTCACAAAAGGAGATCCTTAAAAGAGAGTTTATAATTAATTTTTTTATATATATATTATATATATCTATATAATATATTAGACTAATGTTATATGCACCAATTAGTGCACTAACTAGTGTACCAATTGATGATGTAACATAATTTAAGATATTTTTAGTATTTATAATTTGTATAATAAGTGGGTCAATAATAATGTCATAACTAGTATTGATATACTAGTTAGTATACTAATTGGTGCATGTAGCACCACTCAATATGATATGACGATTTTTAAAAATGTCTCAAAATGTATCAAAGATACATTTTAAATTAACGGTTTAGATTATTTCATCTAACAATTTAAGGGTCAAGATGATTTCTTTACTTTTGCTTTCCTCCCAAAATCTCTCTCTCTCTCTCTCTCTCTCTCTCTCATTTTTTGAGTCTTTTCCCAAATTTCAAGTGTAGTGCACTACTTTCTTCAATGCAATTGTTTTCTTCACATCTAACATTACCATCTAAAACTTTGCACCTTCCCTCCCTTCCTCCCTCTTTCTCTCTCACGTCTCATCTCATTCTCTCTCTATAAACTCTTATCTCTCTTTCTCTTAGCTTCACTTTTTAGATTTTAAATTTCCAAACACACATTCACTTCCTCTCTCCTCTCACACTCTTCTCACTCTCTCTCTAAACTGTTTCTATCTCTCTTAAGGCTCTCAGCCTTACTTCCCAATCTCTAGTCTCACTAAACACTCTATCTTTTGTCTCTCAGCCTCACTTCCCACGGCCCAAACTCAATAACTCGGTGGCGTCGACGAACAAGCTTTTATTGTCGTGACCACAT